AATGGCCACACCGAGTTAAGAGCATTCCCTTGTTAGAAAGAACATCAAAGGATGCCGACAAACGACGAACATAGCAGTACAAATATTCACCGATTCGACCTGCAGGACTTTTTTTCAACCATCCATATTTTTACTAAAGGAGGATGCAAGGATTTTGGACTGTGTCCCTATGATTACGATCCCTTTTCATTTTAACATTGCAAGCTTTATCCAGGAGACTCCCTTTTAAAGCTGAATTTCTTTGAAATGTACTGGCAAGGATTACGTCCGTCTTCTTACTACCTTCTTAAATCGATTTCTTCTCATATCGCTAACTTAAGAGAAGTCCTGAAGGGGCCATAGTGCTCAAAGGTGATGCGTGAACTGAGGATCTTTCTTACTGAAAGAACTACGATGAAGCGAAGGGGGCCTGAAGATGTCAAAGGGCTTAGCCTTTCCTTCCCCTCCCCCCTCCCTCTATTTTTCCTCCCCTTCGACGATCCCTTCTACTCAAAGTGCAGATGTTTGACGTGATCCTTGTCATACAGGGACGTGCATGCTCAGCTTTCACAGGTATGTTGAGATGAAATAATAACAATTTGAGAAATGCTGCTTTCTTTGATAGTTCGACCGTGCATTTTGTTGGCTCAACCACATGCAAAAAAGAGCCATGTTTGCTGTTTAAAATTAACCGTTAAGGGTTTCAAACTGCATATTTTTTTGGTTTGTATGAGGAGTTAGAAAAAGAGTTTTCAATTGTCCCGTAGTTGCATTTGTCTGCATGCATAGTTTCCTTCACCAAACTTACCACATATCAAGTGATGTTGAGTACTCCGTGCTACCAAGAAGCACATCAGGTGGCCGATACCAAAGAGTAACTACTTCATGAGAATAGGTCCTGCTGGGAACCGATTTTGCTCTGGCCAAGCCGAAATCTGCTAGTTTTAGCACACCACTTTCGTCGAGAAGGAGGTTTTGAGGTTTGAGATCTCTGAAAGGAAACGGCTATAAGTGCGAACTGAAGTGTTCATTGGTTGCAGACCTGTGCAAAATCTTTTTCTTGTGGCAGAAATCTAGTCCGCGAAGGAGTTGAAACAGCAAAAGCTCGATTTGTAGGCAATCTATACCTGTAGGATGACATTCGAGAAATTTGCTGAGATCCATTTTCTAAAGCTATCAGTTTTTTGGATAATTAGTTTACTGATGAAACTGTCACCTACCATATATTCGAAAACGAAAGTCAATCGATTATGTTGGTGAAATATGTCATGAAGGCATACAATATTCGCATGGCGTAGTGTTCGTAAAAGCGATGCTGAAACTGACGATGAGCTTTTAATTTACTTGGTCAAATAAAATTACATTGTGTATTTCAAACCTTCTCGAATGGCTGTGAAGGGAAGACCTTCTTGGAACTGCAGTTTTATTTCTTTTAGTGCTACTATAGAACCATCAGTCCTGGATCATGGGTTGTATTACAGATGGAGTGGCTGCAGGTTTTAATTTTATTCTAAGAGCACGAGCACTTACTTTGATTTGCACTTGAACACTGTAGCGTAGCTACCCTCTCCA